TAATTATTATCAATGGTATTGAATAATGATGCGAATTGACTGAAATTAGGCAATGTGAAATATCGAATTGCTAATTGAAGATTTATTTATGGCTTTCTAAAAATATAAATATATATAAAGCCCAACACTCATAGGTACCATTTCCACTTGCCAGACTGTTAAGTAGTTAAGAAGTAACAACCCATTTAAAATAAAGAGATAAGACTGAAGTTAAGCATGAACATTAGCTGGACGAAAAAAAGTCATTATAGAACTATCAATATGGGGTTGTGCAGATTGTTAAGTTTTTGATTGAGATCATAAATCGACCGATGTTAGGAGTTAATCCTTGTCAGGCAGAGACAGGTATCTACCTCAAACAGTGGAAGATGGCCATGCAACTTCGGGGATTGGTTGAAGTTAGACATCAACACCGTTGAATGCCGGTCAGTCCAGTGGTTTAGAGGTTAAGCGTTCGTGTATGACACCTAAGTTCATGGATACGAGTTCCTTTGCTTCGGAATCGTGGATGCGCACTGCTGATTAGTTCCATACTAGCACGAAACGACCGTCTACCACTTCTAGCTTTTCAATGGTTGCCTAACATCGGTCGATTCATGATTTCAACCAAAAATCATAGAATTATTAAATCAAGATATTGGTAAAACATGAAGAATAACTGTATCATTATAGTTATATCATTTTAGGACTTTTAGTTGAACATGATAAATATAAACCTTTAAGTCAAAACCTTTGTAGTTAAAATTTCGATATATTATGATATTTATTGAATGGTATCGTTTATTTACTATTTTACTTCTGATATCATTAATATAACATTTTATAGCTTATCATCAAGAACTTTTCGGAAATACATTACATGAGATTGTCTTTTTTATCACGTTACACTGTGAAGAAATTTTGACAGTCATTAAAACTAATATTTAAGTAGATAACAGTATTAAAGATTCCCATTGTGAAAATTAGAACAACATATATAAGCGAACAATTGTTTTCAATTAGATCATCTTATTAATAGTTAAACGTTGGAAATAGCGTTATTGACATTATGTCAAAATTTGACACTCAGTGTTATTACTGACTTTGATTCATATAAAGACAGTTATATGATTTGGTTGTGTTTTATTTAGAGGGGGGTTTCTTGTCAGCAACAACGTTATGAAACTAATTGTAATTTCTATGTAAGATTATGACAAAAAAAATTTATTTTATGAAAGAAAATCATAAATCAACTTGCTGATCGATATAAACAATAACTGTAGACAAATGAGTTTAGAATATTATTAAATTTATAAAAGGGAAAAACGGTGGTGACTCAATATATATATTTACCCATATATGTATATATTTAAAATAAATGGGTAACAACTGAATAACGGTTTGTTTCTTTGACCAGAAAAAAATACATTTTCAATAATAATCAATAATGTAACGTTTAGATACTTCGGTTTATCATGAAATTTTCAATAAACTTACGAATACTGTTTGAAATAATATGAGGAGAAAAAATGACAAACGCATTGTTCTTTACGTAAGAGATCTTATATAATTGAACATAAATAATGCTGCTTGTACAGTTTCACAACTATGCTCTATGAATGTTGCTGTAAACGTTCATCTGTAACTCATTTTAAACAATATTTTTTAGTAGATGAATTCATAGGTCGAATTAAGCTAGAACACTATTAAAAACTTGACCCGAGAATTCCAATCCGTGTCGGGTAGAGACAAGTATCTACCTCAGATAATAGAAGATAGTCACTCAATTTCGTAAATTGGATGAATTTAAACAATAACACCGTTGAATACCGGTCAGTTCAGTGGTCTAGAGGTTAAGCGTTTACGCGTGAGACCTAACGTCGTGCATTAAAGTCTTTTTGAAGAGAGATTGTGGATGTGCACTACTGAATATTTCTATACTAGGACGAAATAGTCGTCCAGTCCTTTCAGGTTTTCAATGGTTGTAATGGTTGTATAGCATAGAATCCATCTATTAAAAATTATTGCAATCTCCACAAACTCCCATTCTAGTAATGTTTTTTTTGTAAATTTAATTTCAAAATACTCAGGTAATTACTAGAAAAATAACTTTTTGTTAAAGTACCTGTTTGAAGTTCGTTCCATGATTAAATATACAAAGTATATAATTCATTTGACACTATAAATGAACTATATGTATAATCGATTTATGCATTAGTATACATTAGACAAATCATTTTTAATCTCAATAGTTGAGATCATGAGTCATTTGAAGCTAGACCACCATGGAAAACCTTGAAGCACTGGACGGTTGTTTCTTTCTATTGTGAGACTCCTCAGCAGTTTTTACACAACAATATCATATTTCTTATTTTATCTCAATCTTTATGACAGTATTTATTATTCAGTTTTCAAGTTGAATACGAAACTTATTCCTTAGAGTTTTATCTTCATTAAAACATATGAATATCTTGTACAATAAGTAGATTTCAATTAGACGATTGACTTCATTTAAAATTCAGTCTATTCATTTACATTTGATTTATAATTTGATTTTTATCAAAACTAATGTATAAATAAAGTAAACTTATATTAAATGTTATTTACATAGTTTGAAAAAACTTCCGTTTATTGTTTATTACAGTAGTCATTACCTGCTAATGAATTATGTATAATGATTATTGCATAATTATTTATTATTCATAACAATGACGTCAGTCGATTGTAGAATTTATGATTGGTTATTATAATCTTATTTATAGAGCAACAAAATGGCATAGTAACATGCAAATAAAATTTTAAGATGAATAATATAATTCTACCAAATTTCTAACATAAAAAAGAAAACAGAATGTAAGTAGAACAGTAGCATTTGGTATTATTGTCATTCAGAATAATCAAAGTGTTACTTTTCTTCTACTAAACATTATCTTAAATGATTGTTAAATGAATGGTCTCTTGAAACATTCTTTAACTACAGTAGACTACTTAATATGAACAATAGTTCAATAAACTACCAGTGACTGGGTATGTTCTCAAGATTATTAATATCAATTCTAACATAATTAGAATTAATATGAGTAGTTGATAATGTTATTTTAAAATTACATTTATCTAGAACTATACAGTTATTGAGATAACAAAAGGTCATTGATTGATTTTGTGACCTGAATAATTTGTCTCTTGTTTAGTCACTTACTATTTTGATGTGTAATTGTTTTAACTATTGAAATGAATGGAACAGCCTCAGAATATTCCAATTATTCTTTAGATGGTGGTTGGAGGTAGTCGACAGGAAACCCTGGACCCAGGTTTCGTGCTACTTGACACTCGTCAGCAAGGTGTACCTGTAATCTTGAGGGAACTGGTGCTTCCTGGCGGATTCGATCTCGTGTCACCCAGCTTCACAGTCAGAGACGTTACCACTGAGCTATCCAAGCCGCGACCGATCTCCTGTAAGATTACAGGTACACCTTGCTGACGAGTGCCAAGTAGCAAGAAACCCAGGTCCAGGGTTTCCTGTCGACTACCTTCAAACACCATCCAATCTCACAATAGTGCACTCAGTGTCAAGTCACCTAGGCTGGTGGCCACATTGCAACATAGTTGATAGCATTCGATCTGCACTAATAAGGACTAGACACGCATGACATTGATCGCCACCCAGTGATCAATTAATTGTGATTCCAATTGTTCTGTCAATCTATTTCGTCATTATAACAGTTAAACTAATAACTACTATGTAAAGTATTTCATTATTTATACATGTTTATTCACGCTAATAATAAGTCTAATCAAAATAATCTTTTTTTTTCTAAAAAAAAAATTGGACAGTCTAAATTCAAGATTTATAAAGTCAAAACATACTCTGAATTAAAATAATGTATTTTATGAATTATAAATCTCTTTTTATATGACTGCTTAGTCAGTTTTCAATATACAACGCTTGTTATAATAGCTACTGTTTGATTGTATGACAATATTGTGTTTCAACTAATAATGGAAAAGAAAACAACCATATATTATTAGCGAAATGAAACATGTTTAACTAGAAAAGTCACTTATCAACTAATCCATTCTACATTTTATTTTATTGTCAATCTTGAATAAATGAAAGTAAGAAATATCGATAAAACTGATGTATTTATATTTAATACAAAGTTCAGTAATCATTTTTACAGTATGCTATGGTCTTTGATTGTCTGATAAAGACATGAAACTGTAGTATTTTGGTTGTTTTACGAAGAATTCAATGGTTTTAAAGAATTTATTGGTTAAATTGTAAGTTGAATTGCATATGAAAATAATCTATGTGTCTCACTGTCAAGGAAGAGCAGTGGAAACACTTTTTGTTAGTGTAATTGCATTATGATAAATATTATAAATCTGGCCAGTGTTAGAGGAGAAGAGATTGATAAATGCCTTATAAAACTGTTTTATATCCACATTAATTTTATCATAGATCAATATTTTCTACTAAGAAACTTTCCAAACAAATAAAGTGCTAAATGCACTTACATTTTCATTTTCGCTTATTATTTAACTGGTAGTCACCACAGATCATTTCTGGGGAATTGACTATAATTTAATCTGTACACAATGTAACCCAAACAACTGTATGCAGTTTGTTTCTTCCATGTAGAGCTTTTTGAATATTCCAATTCCGATGTTGTGGTGCGTGCTACTTATATTGACATAAGTAGTATATAACGCGAGTCAGGAATGTAATGTCTGAGAGCGGAAGATTGGGAAGATCAAGAAAGAAAGGATAGGAATAGAAAGCATTTGGTATGGAAATGCAAGAACAATAAAGTCTGAGACAACTATTGAACATTTTGCAAATTGGGAATTATAGTATGGTTTTTCTATTTTACCAAGTAACAATGTTGCTTATTTTATATGACCGATCTAAATTAAAATAATATTTTGACTAAAGTGAGCTCACTAGTTCAGGTGAGTTAAACGACGTAAGATATATATAGTTATTTTGTAAGTGACTGGTATGAATACTGATATCTTACTTTACTAGTGAATTAATCACAGCACGCCCATCACGTACCATGTGGATGAATTTTGCCTCAGGAAATATTTCCGCCAAATATTCAAGGTAAATAAATGATAGTGGATCTTTATTACACAGAACAAGTGCATTTTCCCCAGCATTTTGGATTAAAGATAATATAAATGATCGTACAGCAGAATCGACTGCAACGGGATATAGACCAGCAGCTGTAAGTCGTACGCTTTCTTTTCCTCTACCCCATTCACCTCGTAAGTTGAGGATTTTGGGTATTACTCTAGTTTCAGGACCGCATCGAATCATTGGATGTACATCTAGCAAGACACGCATAAGAGTAGTGCCTGTATGAAAAGAATAAAATACCTTTAAATAATATAACTACTGAGTAATCATATTACTCATTTTATACAAACTTTGATAATGAATATGAATGCAGATAGTGGACTGAGAAGTCAGAATTTATCAGAACTATGTGATATATTGGTACAACATATTTTAATGAACCTGATCACATATTAATATTTTTAATGTATCCTCATAAAAAATAAAGGTTAAAGTAGATATAAGTGAAACATAAAAATAACAGTATATATCATACTAATCTCCAGTGGGTGTCATGTATGTACCGATTGTTTATGAACACACAATAAAGATTCAAACATTTGTACAGCTATGCCTTCAATAAACTGAAGTATTCGCACTTTAAGTGTTTGGTTGTTCAAAGTGGAGAAGAATAAGTGTTTCTCATTTGTTCTTGTTGGGTAACTGGAATATATTTAATTTCGTAATATTTTCGGTACATCTCTAATTCTAATAATTTTAAGTCATAATCACTCTTCCCACCATATATATGACCACATATACATAAATATAAAATTAATTAAGTGGGAATGAATCAACAATTCATAAAATATAGTTGCTGAATGTCACCTTCCATAATTAAATGTTAAATGAAGGAAATAGAAAAGCTTATGGGCATGAAAAAAGACTTGTAGGCAACGTACGCATTCTTTACATAAAAATTAACAACTGTCAGATTATACGAATTGTCTGCTAATTTGTTCCCATGATACAGTCTTCGGAAGCACTATTATGCAATCAAAAATTACTTGACCCAAGTCAACGAATAAATGATTTCTGTTAATCTCAAATAACAACTATTCAGAGATGAAATGAAATGATCAACATAAGCAATGACTTTTATAAATAAATGAAATTCTTTTACAGACCTCATTTCGTTCATAACAATTATAAAGTCATTTAGTTCGCAAGGGAAGAAACGTACAATTATTGTCTATATTCGTAGATGAACAGAATAACAGTAATAGAGAAAATATGAAGTCATTGAGTACAGAAGACACGTATATACTGGATAAAATAATAAAATTGATAGTAATTGCCAAATAAATAATGAGGCAATCATAATAGTAGTGATAATAATACTATTTGAACATAGTATAGGTGAACCTAATTACTTGAATGATTATATTGCTGTGGAGATTGAACATTTGAATAACGTTGAAATGTCAACACTAGTTATGACAACCATAAATTATCAATAAAAACAGAATTTCAGGGTACAGTGAAGTCATTATTGTGAATAAATACAAGTTCGTGAGAAAGGTGATGGATGTTTGTAGACGTCATATGTGAAATAAATGAAACTAAATTTTAAACAATTTGCGAATAATGTAAATAATTAAGTACATCTGAAAGTAACTAGAGGTTGTATATTATCCAAGTTTATTCATGAGTAGGCTTTTTGTTTCATATGTAACCATAAAATTGACAGCGGGAAAGATCAGAGCAATGTTGAAGGGAAGTTTGTCAAACGTATTATTTTTAGGGTCCATGTCTTGTTTTGTTATCCCATTTGTTGACTTGAAATGTTTACATTTAAAATCCATATAATAGCTATTCATGACTGACATTCTTTAAATAATCTACACTTCACCATCTAGTGAACTTTTGAAATAAAAAACCTGTCTACCCCCACATACAACATTCTGAAGAGATTTGTTTTATATTAAGGTAGAAAGTCTATAGAAGTATGAGTATCATCCCTCCCAGGAAGCTTTACATATATGAAGGATGAACCTCAGACATCTTCGTTTTTTTGCTCATTTTGTCTAAAAAACTCATCTGACTTTTAATTTAGTGATCGGATGTGGATTTTGAATTCAGGTGAAGCAAATTAAAACACTTAAGTAACTGATTAGAAAGGTCTTTGTTATTAAAAACAGTGATAGTTCCATCAACTTATATTGACGTTACTTTATTGCATCTTTGAGTTTGACATTTTGTGGATGTCCTATACAAATATCAGCCAATATAGTGCCTAACAGATTACCTGTAACTCCCGTATATTTGTGAATAACAATAATGATTGTTTTGTCTTCTACTTCATAAAGTCAGTCCCACTGGTATTAAAATAATTTTTATATATTATGAGAGAAGAACCTATCACTTGTGTTTCTGACGAGGACTTCATTTAACTTTACTTTTAAACATATTGTTAATAAGGTGAAATTTATAAAGGAAACTTTCTGATTTCCCAGTAATGTATCAAAATATCAACTAAGATAAAAGTTTCCGAATTCGAACAGTTATTAAATTCGTTCCAGGTGGAAAAAGTTATAGATGGATCTAAATAAGTGTAAGCTTATAGATGTTCTTCTTTATTGCAAATAACAGTTTCTCGTCAAATACATGAATCTAACATTCTGAAGGAAATATACTAAGTAAATTATCGTTACTTTTTATTCTTGTACACTAAGAAAACGTTATTCAACAACTAATCTATACAGTGAAATTCAAAATGAAAGATCACTGTTATCTCACATAACATTGGCATGTCAATGAACGATTAGAAATTTCCAAGCAACACGGAGATATGTATGAAACCAAAAGAATATTTTCTCTGAAATACTAAGTACCATCTTATAAAAAATGGGACTAAATCTATGCATTGTATTATAATTCCTTAAATATAAAATTTCAGCAAATGAATTTCTGTGTTTCAGGGCATTAAATGTGTTTAGTAAAACCTCTTATACATGCGTCTATCATAATCAACGCCCAGTTTTCACATATCAAGTATCATATTACCATTTGTTGCACATACTGAAGTAAATTTTTCGATACAAAGTACCTCACAACGATAACTGATAGCTTTATTATTAGTTTTATTATTAGCGTTTATGAAAAAGGAAAACCAAGTTGTATACTTACCACTTCTTGGATAACCTCCAATAAATACAATTTGTTGTGATGTTTTCTTAGTACTATTCATATCAGGTTCAATTACAGTGTAAACTCCAATTAAAATATAGTAAGATAAAGCAATTGCAAATAAAAGGAGTATTATATACAAAGGTATAGATCTTTGAAATTTAATCTGAAGTAAGGAAAAATTCAAAACATGAAGAAATTGGTTGAATAAAAGATCATTTTGAATAAAAATGCTTACTGGATAATGAGATGATTTCTTCACCCAAGATTTCTAATATCATTTTGGTTGATAAATGAAAATTTATTTGTCAATAATTTGTGATCGACAAATAAAATAGAGTGTAAATCTAAATCACTGAGAGATTTTAAACAACTATTTCTAGAGGTTTATGTTTTCTGCACACTAATAACATAACAAAATAAATACATGGAATATACCTCCATGGAAACTCAGTCACCGATTAGCGTTTCGTTGAATCGTTTAGATAAGAAACACTCATTCACTTCTGACGATTGTGTACCGATGACTTATATAACGTAGGATTAACTAACCAGACACTCACTTTGTCCATACAGTTTTATACAGTCCTGATACGGTCACGTTTAAAATAATGTAGTATTCACACTAAGTTTGCTTTAATCAAATAACAAAGTCTAAGTTCATTGAACAAATTTAAAACCAATTTCCGAATTGATAAATAAGCTATGATTCAGTAAAATATAGAAAATATGAGTCATATTATCATTACTATGCCAATATCCCAAATATTTGTGTAACGTCGTCACTGAACAAAGTTGTTCTACCCAAATAAATTGATTCATGGTTACTAACACCCTGTTGTCAATTATTTACCGCTAGTCAAGGTATTCTTTGCTTAGTCTTCTGCTACTAGACACAATCATCATAAATTTAAAAGATCAGGTTATATGCCCATTAATGATCACGATCTCTCTGAAGCTGTTATATATATACTTTGGAGAATTTTTTATCCCTGGCTGTAGCCATACCACATTAGATAGTCTAAGAATAAGAACTGAATTCCCTTCGCGTTTTGTCTAGTGATAGATCATATTTTTTAGTAACGGAAACATTCGTCACTAACTGTAATGTGTAGAAATCAGCAGCCAACTGTTGGTTAGTACAAATATATTCTAAGTTTTTTTAAAGGTTCATGTCTGCCAACAAACAGGGAATTTATTCATACATTTCAATACTCGCAACATTTATAGGTAAGAATAATTCCATTTCTTCTCTTAAACTAATATGTTTAAGGACGAAACAACGTTAACTTCACTCTTAGTAAGATCACATAATTATTAGTCAGACTACTAGAAATTTCATAGTTTACACTATGCATTAACTGAGACTAGACAATCATAAGAACACCTTACAGTTATCTTATTCTAAAATGAAGCCTCCTTATTGTTCACACTGAAACATTTCCTGAAAATCGTTTACCTGTGACCTACAAGCATTGTCGTTTTTCCCTCAGTTGAAAACCGTTGAAATACCAGTCACTGATTCACACTTATAGGCTAAAAGATTATAGGATATTTGGAAATCGTCATCTACATGTCTACGTGATGAACCAAACAAATACCTTATAATAAAAGTCCAACATACCTTTCCTAGATTTTCGTTTCATTTTTCATACTTTTGAATGGCAGGAAAGCTTTACCTGATGACTTATAGCTTTATTTCATCAATGTTCTATTATTAACTGTTTTGCTTTAAGTCTGTTAGATGCCACCTATTTATGCTTATTTCAGAAAATATTCAGCAGGAAAGCTATACTCTTGAAATTTGGCATACAGATGTAAAATCGAATTCGAAACAAAGATAATTATAATATTTTCAGCAATAGGAATCTAACAAAATAAATACTTTCATTTCATATGATAAGAGATTGCTTTTCGAAGACCTAGAGTAAATTGATGAGTAGACAGCTTTGTGAAATAAGTGAAACACTTTTTAGCAATTTAAGAGATAGCGACATTATGTTTGGAACATTTGATTAACAATAGACTGACGGACATTTTTAACAGGTCTTAATAGTGCCTTTGACTCTTCGATGAAATGGCAATAGAAAACCTATAATAAACATCGCGCTGGTTAGAAACGTACTTATAGCTTATCAGTACATCATTATATAGTTCTGGTTCACTTATATTGAAAACTCAACTTGTTCCTCGAAGTAAACCCTCGTCACAACTTTGCAGTGACCAAATCATATATAAGAACTAATTTGACGACTGAAAGATGTAACTTTCTCTGATCAAAAACTATCATCTATTTTTTTAAAATATAAAGTAAATAATTTGAATAAAATAGTTATAATTCAAGTCTTCCACCTATAATTTTAGTAATCACAGTTGATATAACCTAATAATAGATTAACCCAACAAACTTCAAGTGAACAGCACTAGTAGAGAAAGGAAAAACTCAAGCCTGAACACAAGTGCGAGAATACGGGTAATAAATTAACAGCTGAGAAAGTAAACAAAAATTACCATTCTTGGTCTCCGGATAACCATTTCGCTTTCAGAAACTCTGGAGATTGTTTGAAATGATTTTCTTTATTAGTTGGAGAAAAATGTGGATGCTCCTTGAAATCAGAAAGTTGTTAACAATTGACTGTTCCAGTATATAGCGGAAAGGATCATCTGAAAGTAAGTGGTTATAATGAAGAATGATCTTTTGAAGTATAATATCAAGGTTTACTTTCTTTTTGGTTAACACTTACGCAAGGTTAGGCGTGTCTATGCAGGGTTTATGCAGATCAATCAGTAAGCTGTATACGAGGTTAACTCCACATTAATATTGATTTTTGTAAGCAATGTGTTTTATTGTAGTGGTTAGTATTTCTGGATTGATTCAGAAACAAAACACCTAAAGTCAAACAATGTGAGGTCAAAGTGATGCATGGCCCTGTGTTTATTGAAAAGGTAGCGTCACATTTAACATGTAATTCAGGCCCATGTCACTGCTGCTTATGCTAACTCATTTTAAATCATACCATTAACGACAACAAAAAAGAAGAATACATACTACGCAAAAGAATTCGCAAAACTGTTTAAGGCGTCAACACTCATTTTTACAGACAAACCAATGGTTTTGATGTTAGTGTTGTCATATCTTCAAAAAGAACAGTTTTTTAACTGACTCTGGACGTTATTAATGAAGCATCTGTGTTGTGCATCGTTATAATTTCCTAGTTCCCTCTATGATTGTAGGACCGACACAGAGACAAACAAACAAGAATCGAGATCGTAAGACCTAACGGGGATTGAGCTCCTTCCAACCCAGTGCTTAATAAAAAGATGACGTCAGTTAAAATATGTTTGTCCTGTTGTATGACGGTTTCTTGTGTCTTAAGCCCACATGGTACAATAGAGCAGTTTCGTTACTACACATCAACAAATGTAGAAAATTGCAATGTTCGCATAACTACTTGATAGATGAAGGAAAACTCAGGTCACTCATTAAGTGAAAACATGGAGAAGACAAGAAATACAACAGTGATTGATCCATAAACAAAATCAATCAAACAAAATTATAGAAGTTTACAACAATCCAAGTGTTTAATAAATATACAATCAAAATATAACCAGTAATTCTGTATAATGCGGTTAAAAATATTACCTTTATAACAAAAAGCTTATCAATACTGATAACTTAGGACCTTAAATTAATTTGAGTAAACTGGTAAGATAGTCTAAAACCTGATAAATAAACTAAATCAGAAATGCCAACAGGACACAACAGTGGTCAGTAGTACACCATCGGTAGTGCACCATTATTGCAAGTTATGGAGAATAATATTTTAGATGTTACTGTAATCCATTACTTGAGAACAACTACACAGGGCAACGCATAGCTTTTAAAGCATTTCGTTTGCTTTGGTAACATCTAAGAGTCTTTGGATGACTTGATGAAGAAAGGCAGTCAGTTTTATAATACACCTACAGAATAACTCATATATACTATACTTATCTAATGGCTAATCAATAGTAAATAAAACATTACAATGCTTTTAAGCATTTCTTGTTGTCCGATACTAACTTATTAACAAAATAACCGTCAAAAAGAAATACTGAGGAAACTGAACCTATTTCCCTCAAATTATCCAATAATAAGATTCTTATCCTGTATTTTATAGGACGATCAAGATTCAACAACTTTAAGTTATTTTTAGTCCTTCTAAGTTTATCAAGATCACAGAGACGCACTTTTTAGACCGAGTGATATACGAATAAAACACTTTACCCGAAGACTTGTTATCAACCTCAACAGTAGCCACACTTGGAAATAGCCAGAACTTTGAACAAAAATATATCTCAAGGATTATCGCAAACCTACTACATAAATTGATAAATAAAAAGACACTGAAATAAATTTTAAACGTACGTTTGCTGAACGATCAAAATCGTTTATGAGTCTAATGACTCATTTTGACACAAATAACGAGAAACACTCGATGGAAAGAAATTCAGTAGACTGTACTTTCGTGGTGACTAACAGTAACAGTTGAAGTGTTCAAATAGACGGTGGTTATTTAACCTTGACAGCTAGCAGCGTAGAAGGTACAAACAAATA